TGAAGAGCTGAGGGACAGCGCCCAGGCCCAGAGTTCAGGCCCCACGACCGGACCCCCCCCCCCAAAAATAATAATTTTTATTTCAATAACTTTATTTTGATATTCTTCTTGCTTTTTTATTCTGGTTAAAGATCAGATTAAAAAAAACACAGCACCAATCTCTTGTTTGGTTAAACAACAACACACCTATTTCTTATCTCTAAGCAGACTCTCTGCTGCCTCCTCCATCTCTTGTTTCTCCACTCCACTGAAAATGCCCCCTAAGATGGAACAAATGCCAGGAAGTGCCAGGACAGACCAAACAACCATACCATTTGTCTCCAAGGTTATTCATCCATTCTATCTAATTCATGTAAAAACACTTTGGTTTCACAAAGATAAAATACACATTATCCCTGTTCTGATGAAGTCTAGAAAAACCAAAATACATAAAGAATTAATTGTAGTATGGTATGATAAATGATATGACAGATGTAGGCATAAATTTATATGAGCAAAAAAACATTCAGAAAACTGATTAGGAACTCATATATGTAGGGCTAGTTTCAAACAGTATCTCATGGCAATAATTTTATGCTATGTAACAAACCAGTGAGGTACCATGGAACACATTCTTATTAATGATAACCACATGTAACTTTTTATTATGTATTTTTAAACCTCTCAATTTTACAGGATTGAATCCAACTTCCACAATAAAAAAGTTACACTTACTCAGAATCATACAAACAAGTAAGATGTAGCCAAAGAAGACGATTTATACATGCAAGAGAGAAAAGGAAAAAAGTTAATAAATAGTTCTAAAGTTAGCAACTGTCTTTACTAGCATAGTACCATTGAGAAGCCTTTACTTTTCTTATAGGACTATTCATCCCTCTTTCTAGCATCTATTATGATGATGGTGATGATGGTGATGATGTAGTTGTGCAAAGGGATTTCAGTTCGAATCTCAAATTATGAATACAATGCATCCTGATCAATGACATTCTTTCCATCATTCTCCCTCATAATTCTGTAAGAATTTGTTCTAGCTAATTGTTTTTTTTATTTCTTCCAAAAAGTAAATGCCCAAATAAAAAATCATTTAGAAAGTACTCTCACAGGCTTCCCCTTCTCAAACAGCAAAATAGAATTTGATTATTTATAAAACTTCTTTATCATTAGCACTTTTGATGCTTAGGCATTTTGCCTCCTTGTCCAACCCAGGACATTTTCTTTGATAACCTACACAATGCATCTGTTATTAGGTGATAACCATACATAGTGAGTTTCTGTTGGGATAACTTCAGTATGAGACTTCTTGAATTGCTTACCTGGTCCTGTTTCACATGTTGTGGGGAACTGCTCAAGACAGGGGCCAGAGTGATTTGGGTAAATCTGAGTTTCTTGGATCCACCAATATGGACGATGACCAAATAATATCCTGTATTTAAAGAAATAGAAATATTCATATATATTTAAATACATAACGACTACTTTGTTGGAGGCTAGCTACTCTTTCCTACAAAAGTTCAAGCAGAGTGTTAGTGGGGGGAAAGATCCAAAGAACTTCTATTTATGTGTCTTATTACTGAAGATGGTAGTGCTGGGGATTTACGCAGCCTCATCTTTCATAAACACAGAAATGTTTTTCTTTTTAAGAAGTCTTTAGGTACTTTGAGTGCTTAGATTTGGAATTCCAAAGTGGCCCCTAGAACTGTCAGTCTATTTGTTATGGTACTGTTCCTTTAACTTCTTGGTTAATCACAGAGTATGTATTACACAGTTTGGAAATCACTTATTCCTCAATGTACACAATTCTCTGCTTTTTTGTAGGTTCTACTAATGAATATGATGTTTCCAGGTAAGTAACAGGTACATTTGAAAGATTCTCTTAGCTGGGGTATACATACCTTGTATATGATCATTGTGCTAAAGTTATAAATTTAAGAGTAAGTTTTAAGAAAAATAGTGAAAGAAAACAGATGTCTTACCATTTAAATATAAGATTGAACCAATCTCCAATGACTGCTACCCATATCATCTTGGTTCCTACTGTCTGATTAAGTTGAAACCAAAGTGGGAAATAAATAGAAAAAATATTCCTCGGATCTCCAACATTGGACATAAAATTTAGAAAATCATAGTAGGCTCGGTAGTCCTTCTGCAAGTGCTGAATAACAAGCACTCCATTCCGATGAAGAAAATCCATCTTGACAAGTTGTAGTCTTAAACAAAGAGCAATAGAGCTTCAGTGCTCCCAGTCTTGCTGTTTTTATACAGCATCCTGGAGATGAGTTGGGCCATTACTGTGACATGTGATGTTGGCCATCTGTGGAGGACGCACTTCAGTCCTGATCCTCCTTTGTTGAAAATATCTGTTTATGATTTTAATTGGTGGAAAAGAGGTGAAGTACATGCTGATCTGGGGGCAATTTGAGGGGAAATTTGGATAGATGCACAATGCATTTCTTATGTAACCTTGCCTTTGTGTGAACAGTTGGATCATGTTTGCTTGAAATTTTTTGCACAGTTCATTTCCTTCAAGGGCAGATATTAGCAATTTCCATGCTTGACTAGAAGACTACACTAATAATTATTCCATGTCCAATAGGACTTAAAGCTATGCATTTTAATGTAAGATAAACTTCAGCTCTTTGTCTATTTTATTGGATCTTTCAGGAAATGGTAAATATTTAGATGATGAAATATTTAGATAGTATGACAGTTGTTTTGATCATTTTTAAATAAAAATAGTTTAATTTTTTTGTTGTTGGTTGTGGGGCTTGAACTGTGAGCCTGGCACTGTCCCTGAGCTCTTCAGCTCAAGGCTATTGCTCTACCACTTTGAGCCACAGAGCCACTTCCGGTTTTCTAGTAGTTAACTGGAGATAAGAATCTGCCCCCCCCCCCC